TCTTCCCATATCCCAGACCCATATAGCTAAAGAGCGTTTTTCTCTCAACAAAAATATTTTCCCAATACTACCCATTTAATAACTTTCATTTTTTCAAGGGGGCTTTTGTAGGCTGTTGCTCATGGGACCTACAGCCAGGGAACATTTCTTGGTCTCTTGGAAAGACACAGAGCATTTGTATATTTTTCACAGCACGTTCTGGAGGTCCTAGTTTCGTGGAACAGAGATTCTTGTTAATTTTCTGATAAAAAAAAATTAAATAGTCCTTTCTGAGGTGTGTGTTGCTTTGTCTAAAATACTAGTTCAGCAGCTAGCTTGTTTACTGGCCATGCTGACATGTCACTGAATTTGTGAAAAGTATGGAGATTTGGTTGCTATCTATTATGAGCATGACTTGGTGAAAAAAGAATGCCATGTGTAATGCTGTCCGCTAATTACATATGCAGAGTTCATGCACTTTAGTCCTATGCACAGAGGGAAACAGTGCTGAAAAAGCATTGATGAAATTGCAAAGACAGGTCCTGCCAAAACAAGTTCCTGTTCAACAAGGCCAAGCGCAAGGTGCTTGCACTTAGGCCAGGGCAATCCCAGGTGTTTATACAAACTGGGAGAAGTTCTCCTTGAGAGCAGCCAGCACTGTGTGCTTTCAGCCTGGAAGGCCAACTGTGTTCCGGACTGCATTAAAAACAGGGTGGCCAGCAAGGAGAGGAAGGTGGTTGTCCCCCTCTGCAGATCTTGTGAGGCTCCATCTGCAGCACTGCGTCCAGATCTGGGGCTCTCAGTACAAGAAAGATGCAGAGCTCTTGGAATGGATCTAGAGGAGGGCCACTAAGATGATCAGAGGGCTGGAGCACCTTCCTGTGAGGGAAGGTTGAGGGAACTGGGATTGTTTAGCTTGGAGAAGAGGAGAATTAGGTCTCCGGGGATACCTAATTGTGGCTTTCCAGTATACTTCAAAGGAGCGTATAAACAGGAGGGGTTGTTTCCTTTGGTGGATCATGACAGGACAAGAGGGAATGGTTTTGAACTGAGACAGGAGGCTCAGGTTAGGTATTAGGAGGAAGTTTTTCACTCAGAGGGTGGTGAGGCACTGGAATAGGTTGCCCAAGGAGGCTGTGGATGCCCCATCCCTGCAGGCATTCAAGGCCAGGCTGGATGTGGCTCTGGGCAGCCTGGTCTGCTGGTTGGTGACCCTGCACACAGCAGGGGGGTTGAAACTGGATGAGCATTGTGGTCCTTTTCAACAGAGGCCATTCTGTGATTCTACAAAAATGAAGCTTTTTTCCCCTTTGATACGTGTTCCAACATAATCGTGAGTTGAAATGATATTCTGCTAGAACAAGATGCTTGCAAGTGGGTCTTCCAAGAATTGCACTGGCAGTCTCCAGAATGTCCCTTAACTCTCTGAAAGTTGTATTTTTTAACTCTGTCCACCAGTTTCAGATTATGGAGTGTTTTGATTTGCTTTTTTTTCCATGGTCTGGTAGAAGCCTCCTTTTTATCAAGTGACTTGCAGATTGAAAATTAATTCAGCTCAGAGGCACTACAGTTGCAAAAAACAAGGAAATGCAGTTGGAACATATGTTTTTCCTCATCATGTTTTCAGAAATAAAAGCCATTTTTACTGAAACAAACATTTTACTTGAGACAAACATCCTGGGTGGAAAATTTCAGCCTGAATCGTTAAAAGATTGATAGAAGCGTAAATTGCTTACATTCAGGTTTAAAATAGCACAGTTAATAGTAAAAAAGTTAATTATATTTGTTAACTCACAAACCACACAACATTCTCAACTTACAATTCTGCTTATTTTAGAGCATCTACATTAAAACACATTTTGAAATGAGGCATTTATATTTTTTCTTACTATTTATCTTCATATTGTCTTTTCCTCCATCTTTGTCTTCCCAATTCTTTTCATTCTGGCTTTTTACTTTATTCTGATTTTCCAATTATGACTTAAACAATAGGGTGAACAGAGGATCTGGTTTGCAAAGGATTTTGTCTGCAAGTGAATTTGGTTTCATTCCTCCTAGGTTTTACATACCGCCAGTAGTAGAATCCAGCCCAGCTGCAGCATTTTCTTGGCAGTGTTTCAGACCACAGCGCCAATGGTTTCTGCTTTGACTTATGGTGCACGTTGTTATCCTGTTTTTGAAATCCACCTGAAATCAAGGAATTGCCAAATCAAAATCAAGTTGTTCTAAATTTAGCCGGGCTTAGTGAATAAGGTTGGAAAATCTCAGCAGGTTGTTTGGACTGGCGTAGCTTGTGATCTAAAATCCAGACAGGTTTAATTTTATAAGTCTCACTTTCAGAATTTGTTATGAATCCTAACTCTGGTTCATGCCGGCTTTTGGAATTTGTAAGAGTTGCTTAAATACACTTACTACTCGTCATATATGATGACATGATTTTTGGAATCTACAATCAGTATCACTGGAAGGTCTGTCATATGTCATGTGTTTCACTATAGCATGGTGCAGTCTTACTGAAATAAAACAGTAATACAAATGCTACCAATCTGAAAATCTTTCTTCCATAAATTCATGTTCACAGAAAAAGGAGAAAATGTGCCTTCAGAATCACTTGCTTTATGGCCACAGACATTCAGCAAGGAGAGATCGGTGATGATCCCGTATTTACTTACTCTCTGAAAGTCTGTGGGTGACTACAAGACTGGTAATTCCATTGGGTGATTTCTGGTTCACAGCACATTGGCATAATGTTTTTGAAGGTGCGCTGCCTGTTGTCAAAAAATAAATACAATAGAAGAGTAATTACCATTAGTGCAGTCTCAGACTGGAAGGATGAATTGAGCAGCAGGAGCAAGTGTAGACAGTTTTGCTGGGGTTAAAATAGCCAACAATCTTAAGTGCTTGCTGAGGAAAGATTAGCAATAAATCAGAAGTGGACCCTAGAGTTTAGTGGATCAAACATAAGATGCCTTGAAAATATATCAGATCATATTTGTTACCTCATGCTAGAAGGCAAAACAAAAATATAGCACCAATGGAAAAGCTGTCACCATTGTGGCAGGTACAGATGCAAGGATTTTGGACTTTTAGGTGAAAGCACTTTGCACAGAACAAAAAACTGAAGGCTTTCGTAGTCACGTTTGTCTCTCTTTCTTTAACAGGTTATCTTCTTAACCTTTAGTTTAATATTCCACTGCTGAATATATGATGCCGTAAGAAACTCCAGTGATTATTGTCATTTTACAGGTTTTGGTTTTTATCAGTAAAATCACAGTTACTGCAGGCTGAAGTTTCCCAGTACAGTTTTGCTGAGTGGGGACTCTGTGCCTTAAGGGGCATGCTGAAGGTGCCTTTATGGAAGCAACCCACCTTGTCATTCTTTGAAGTAGATATAATAAATTATTTCCTTTTTATTTGTAATTTGTTAGCGTGGCAGTGACTTGAGAACATGTTTCTAGCCAGTCTGATGTTCTTGTCTGTTTCTGAAACTTCTCTTCATAGAGGTAGGCTTATGAAGCCTCATCAGGTATAGGTGTATTTTTGCATTCTACATCAGATATCCAAGGCACCTTATTTTTCAGGACTGTTGTTCCTATTGGTATCACTTTGGTTTCAGTGCCTTTTCCTTCTTACCCATGTATGTATATGCACACTCTCTTTGACATGTTATCTGTTGATGTATCTACACTGTTAAATTGCTTGTGGGCTTACTGGGTGTAAATCAGCTTCTTCTATCTGCTTTGTATAAGAAGAGAATGATACAGACACTATTTGTCTTCCAGAAATTCAGACTGAATTTCAGTTTTTAAAAAAAGAAATGGTAGAGGGAAGGTGGGAAGGAGTATGTAGAGAGACAAAATTTCCAGTGGAAGCTGACAGGTTATTCATGTGAAAAGTTGCTGTTGTGTGTAAGAATATTTCCAAGATACATATATATGTGTATATATATGTATGTGTGTGTATATATATATATATATGTATATATATATATACATGTATATATATACATATATATGTGCATCTCTCTCCCTCTCTCTACATATACATATACACATATATATATAGTCTCTCTACATGTAGAGTAGAGTACGTATAGAGACTATATATATATACGTATATATATGTATGTAGAGAGAGAGAGAGGGAGAGAGGGAGATACACATATATATACATATATATCTATGTGTGTGTATCTATATATAGAGATAGATAAGTGTATATGTGAATATCTCTCTATATAGGTATGTATGTGTATATATGCTTTTGACCAATTCTTTTACTAATGTTGATAAGTTGATCCCTACATCTTTTTCTAATATACTGGTGGCTTTTTTTGAGTGAAATAACCCTTATTGAAATCAAAATTGTTTCCCTTATTTATCCCTTACAAGCTGTAAAGGATTTGTCCATAGTCCACATACTGGAAACTGCAATCATGAGAGTGGGTTTGCCACCATTTGCAGCATACTTTCATGGTATGGTTTGATGGATTTTTCACTTCCCTGTGTGGTAAAACTAGCAAGCTTGGAACCAAATGGTTTTCATGTGTTGGAACAGAAAGACATTTACCAGCTTGCCAGCTGATGTGCATTCATGTCACACCCGTGGCACTGAGATGGTTGGTAGCATCTGAACTTTTGTCCTCAGAGTCTCACACTAGATTCTCAATATATCCATTCAAACTTCAGACCGAACCACGTTGCTAAAAGACTGTTCAGGTTTGGTTTTGTCTGATGCATGGTTGACTTGACCAATTGATGTCAAAGTATCTCATTTCAGATTGTCATGATTTCACAGTTGTGGTAGGGCAGACTGTCCATCTGAAGTCTTAGTCAGTGTTTAACACTGTCTAACCACAGTACTGTATGTAGATGATTTTTCTTTGATATAACGAGTAGTCTGCAAAGATTTAAACTAGCTGTGCAAGCTAAATGAAAGGAGCTGAATTGTTAGGAAAGCAGTATTCAAATCAGTGGCTGCTAACACTTTCCTGAGGTGTGTCATTTCATTTTCTCTTTTAGCAAATACTGCGACATGCTCGTGGGAATTCCACAAAGGTGATATTTCTCATTACTGATGGATATTCCAATGGTGGAGACCCAAGACCAATTGCAGCATCCTTGCGTGAATTTGGAGTGGAGATCTTCACCTTTGGGATATGGCAGGGGAATATCCGAGAACTGAATGACATGGCTTCCCATCCAAAAGAAGATCATTGTTACCTCCTTCACAGTTTTACCGAGTTTGAAGCTCTGGCACGCAGGGCTCTTCATGAAGGTATTGACTTCAGAAGTCTTACAGAGAACATAGAGCTAAATATAACGATCTCCAGTACTGTCTGGTAACTGCATTTCATGTAGTATAAATTTCTTCTTTTTTTCCTCTGACTTTCAAGTAAAGATGCTCATTCCTCAGGCAAAATGATGAACTATTAATTTAACTAACTCGTTATCTATGAAATGTGACCTAAACTCTCTTCACTGGTATATCTATACTTCCATCTTTCTCTTTATATTGTCCAAGGACAAAGAGATTATGGTCTTGGCCTAGTCGGACTTTTGTTTGACTAGATTAACCTTGTAGTTAGCTACACAGTTGTCAAAAAGACACCCTCAGTGCATACCTTACCATTAGCTTTCCAGTTTTGATGTTTTACACACCAATGAAAGCTTGCTTGTTGAGAAAAACATTTAGATTCCTATGTATAAAGGTAAATACGATCTGTTTTTATGGCCTTACATGGTCAATAACACTGGAAAGAGCAAGAGATGGAAAGCAAATTTGAACTGGACTTTTATCCTTTTTTGATCTACTTTATTCTGAAAAAGCCTTTATGAAAAACAGAAGTTTAGCAAGTGAGAACACAAGTAGACCTTTCATAAAAGCCGGTGCTGCTTGAATAAGACATAGTACATGCATCGTACTAGCTGCTGTATTTATTTGTTATATTTACTTCTAAATAGAATGCTAGTTTTACATTAGTAGTGTGCTTTACTGCAGTTCTGTTTGTTCCAGTTAAATTGTTTTTTGTGGATGCGCGAAAGGAAAGATTTATTCTTTTTTATATGACCAACAAGTTGTACATTCCATGACTAAATACTCTCCTTATGCCAGTGAGAGCACCCACCAAACTCAGGAGAAGCTGTCTCAGCAGCTTCTGTATGGAGCAAGACTGTCTTCTGACAGTGTTAGAACCAAGCCAGGCCAAGTGAGAAAACTTGAGACTATGCACCATTGATTTTAGTGGATATTTTTCCATAGTAGGAACAAGTTTTTCTTATATTGTGCAATGGTATATTTCATGCTACCATCACTAGAGCTTAGAACTTTTGCAGAAACATTATGCTAGTTACATAATATGATACTTTTAGGGGATTTGAGATTGGACTTTTTAATTAATAAATTGATATTGTTTCAGACCTGCCCTCTGGTAGTTATATCCAAGAAGATATATCACACTGTTCATATCTCTGTGAGGCGAATGAGAACTGCTGTGACATCATGGCAAGCTGTAAATGTGGCACTCACACTGGCCAGTTTGAGTGCATTTGTGAAAAAGGATACTATGGGAAAGGACTACAGCATGAATGCACGGGTGAGTTTTGTGTCTCTGTTCTTGGGTTTCTCTCTGTGCCCTGGTTACTTGGCTAATCCAGGCTAGGGAGATCTGCGTTTTTTTTGGAGTTACAACTATGAACCTGAGTCAGAATGCATTTGTGGCTTTTGGGTAACTGCTTCTGGCTAAAGATATAGAAGAGTTGTAGTTATCAAACTCAACCACTGTTTCCCCTGAGCAGCAGGTAAAAGAGATGCACAGAGAACAAAAGAGATGCAAATGTTCTGACACAGTATAACACCCCTTAAAATGAAAAACCCCTTAAAACAGAAGTTATAAAACCCCTTAAAGCAGAAGTTTGTGACTTCAGATTCACTGAGTCTGAGATTGTATCTGCTGCATTTAAGAGCTTCTGGTATTTTCAGGCATGAGTTTTACTGATTACTTTCTGAAATTGCTTAGGTATTTCTTATTTGGAGAGGGCCTGACTATGCGGATCTTTGCAGAATAAATCCTTAGGGAATACTACAGTCTATTAAACATCTTTTAATTCTCTTAAAACTAATTTACTAAAGAGGAAGAAGGCATTTTGGTCACTAATGCTAAGATTGTTCTTGTTACTGCTTTTGGAACAGTCCTCTTAATAATATTTATTCAAAGTCTACAGTTGATGTAAACTTGCAGTTGATAAGCTCTTTGTTGCATTTTAGAGTAAAAACTTGGAGGCAAAAAACATAGAAGTCTGGCTCTCTGAAATCCCTGTGAAGTTGTTCAAAGCAAAAACGAAAGGCTGTATTACTAGACAGGGGACTTTAGCCTTTGGGTTGTTTTTTTTTTTAATTAATTGACACAATTTCCAGGGGAATGCATTGGAAAGCTGAGCCACTGGTCTTCAGTGTAGTGTTTCAGCTAAGCGTATACTGGATGTCTTTGTTTAGTAAGAATATAGATAAACATAGTGGGGGAACCAAGATTATACCTAAGCACAAAGGTATTGTCTGCCACCAGTCCAAGAAATAAATGAGATACTACAGTGTTTGCATTGGGAAGTTTATCAGTTATGGTATACTGTTTGTTGATTATCACATCTTCGGATAATTTACCTTGTGCCTTTGCAGCATCTTTCCTTTAATTGTATTAAAAGAGAAGTAAATATACAGGACTTGATAAGATTTTGCTTGCAAGGTGATGTAGTAGGGTCACTGAGACATTGGATCAGAATGGCATTTCATGTCAGTGGCAGAGCTTCCTTGTGTCCTCACTTAGCTCTTAGTAAAGATACAGTACTGCATTTTATTTATTTCCAGACGTTACTCAATTTTTTAAAATAAAATTGAATTTTCATCTTCATTTTTCTTCTGGAATACTAGTCTATTTCTTTCACCTTGGTTTGAATGCCCTAGTAACCTGAACAAAATAAACTCAGTATTTCTGTCTCTATCAATGGCTTGTATTATTAAAGATTGTTTTGAGCTATTCCTGAAGGTAGGGAGACTAACATTTTAGAGTTAATGCTACTTTTCCCATGTGGAAGGAACTTGTGATCATTTAAGCTTATCTTTTGAGTGTCATCAAAAATGTTGAGGTCTAACTTCTTTGACTGAGTATTTGACTACTGCAGAGAAACGTTTCACTTTGACATAATCATCAGTTTTTGTGAAGTGAGTTTTAAAAAGGAGTTGATATTGGATACACTATAAATAAACAGATAGTTGCAGCCATGTGCTCTATATGTGAAAGCAATGAAAGATGCATCCATATAGTTTATGGGGAATTTGACCTAATTGTTCAAGCCTGTTCTTTTAAATGTGTTTGCTCAATTCAGCTGGAATCATAGAATCACAGAATCATCGAGGGTAGAAAAGACCTCTAAGTTCATCTAGTCCTTTTGTCCACTTACCACCAATGTTGCCCACTTAACCATGTTCCTTAGTATCACATCTACACACTTCTTGAACACTTCCAGGGACAGTGACTCAACCACTTCCTTGGGCAGCCTCTTCCTTCTAGTGTGCGACCATTCTTTCAGAGAATTTTTTCCTTACATGCAACCTGAATTTTCCCTGGTGCAATCATTCCCCTTCATCTTCTCCCTGTTGTCTAAGAGGCCAAACCCTACCTTGCTACAATCTCTCTTCAAGTTGTAGAGTGCAATAATTCTCCCCTGAGCATCTTCTCAGATCCTGGGTCCCTTGGCTGTTCCTCATAAGACCTGTGCTCCAGACCCCTCACCAGCTTCATGGATTTTCTCTGGACACACTCTCAGGCCTTGGTGTCTTTCTTATAGTAAGGGGCCCTAAACTTAACACAGTATTTGAGATGCAGCCTCACCAGAGCTGAGTACAACTCATATTTGTGGCAGAAACAAAAAGCAATGTGTTCTTTAAAGGGAAAAGAACGTGTTTTGAAATCTTCTGTTCTGAAAAAGGTTCCAACCTATTTTTTTTTTTTTTTTTAACATTTCCCAGCTGAGGATTGCTATGGATTTGTAAGGGACAAGGAATCTTAATGTCTCTTAACTTTTCTTCATTATAGAATGTGAGAGTTTACATTGACAGTGTGTATTGTAATTGAACAGATTTAGCTTCTGTTGGGTTAATCATGCAGGTACCGTACTAGCCTATGGGTACTTAATGCAGTAATGATTTTTAAATAGGAAATTGTTCTTCTGCAGTCTGTTCATTTTGGTATTTTGGTTATTTTTTAATGTTCTTTTCTCTGTGCCCTTGTGCTTGTGCCTCTTGACATTTTGTAGTTATTTATGGTTTTAAATGTGAGACACCAAGATAACTGTACAAATCATGTACAGTTTCTAAATTGACTTTCCTAATTACTTGAGAATATCCTCTAGAAATCTTCCATACAGTAAAAGAGGTACCACTTGTTATGTGCTGAAGAGCAGAAATTGGCTTCAGTATATCCCTCCTGTTCTTTGTAATATTGTTGATAATGTGCCACAAAAAGCAGAACAGACCAACTCTTCTCTGCTTTATAAGAAAAAAGACAAAAGCCTTTTGGCACACATGAGGAGCCTCATACAGCCAGAGATGTCTGTGACAATTAGGAGAAAAGAAGGGAGGCAGAGGAAGAGTAGGGGCAGTAACATAACCAGTCCCAGTTATTGTAGAGTGTATAAAAAAACTTTTATTCATTAAGCCTTTTTTTCTCTTTCCTTCATTACAAATGTTAAGTTTCAAACTAGATACAGCCAAACAAAGATACTGAGGTCAGCAAAAATAAATCCATGGCTTTCACTGTCTAAGGTGTGTTTTCCCATTCTATGAATAAAAAGGTGAGCTGTTAAAGGCAACTACTTTTTCCATGGGAAGCTAAATCAAATGTCCAGATCTCGCTCTTCATTGTTGTAGAAAGGTAAGTAAAATATCTTTTCACAGCTTTTTTTCCCCATTTTTTATTTTGTATTAACTTGTAGAGTTATGAGGGGGGAACTAAAACCCATGATGCTTATCTCATCTTTTACCTCCTAATTAGAACCACAGTTATCAGGGAAGGTTTCTTTCAATCAAACACATGGACACAATTTTTGCAACACAGTGTATACATGAAGACAACGTACAGTTGGCAGGGCAGAACAATTAATTGAAGTACTTACAGTCTATGCTAGCTGTTTCATCTTTAGTTTATTTTTGGTCTGCTACTTGTGTATGGTTATTGAATTGTAGAATTTCATTGTGTGTATAAATGCTGTCAAAGCTTTGCAGTTTTTATGAGTATGTAGCAGTATCAGTTATCATCTGCATAGCCACCAGGCCTGCAGTTTTGCTTTCATAACAGTGCATCAGTTAGATCTGTGAGGAGCCTTTCCAGTGGAATGTGAAGTCATATGAACACCAACTCTGAAAAGAGTGAAAATTTTGAAGGAACGTAATTCTGGCAAGGCAGGGGATAGGGGATTATATTTTGGGTTTTATGGTTTCTTGGATTTTAGACCCAATTTTCTTCTGAGCTTTTTTCTCCATGAGATGTCCAGGATTTTTTTTCTTTTGAAAATGCAACGCAAAATCTGATGATTATGTGTTGTACAGCTTTTTAAGTTAAACAAAACAAAACAAAAAAACAGTTTGATATATTACCAGCAGTGCTTTACTTAATGAGACAGGAAGATGTGCGATTCGACCGGTGACTAGAATGGCCTATTCTAGTTATAGAATGTTCAGATATAATGCATCCTTCTGTTTCACAGGCACTTCTACCTGCTTGAAAGCTGGGTCTCCATACCACGTTTTGAGAAGTGTTTCTTTAGCTACTCGGTAGGAGATCCTGGCTGGATGAAGTTTTGTCAACAGTTTTGAATTAGTCATGCTGTATTTGGAAACTTTCTTTAAGATTACAGGATATTTCCAAGCCATTAGACATCTGCACTCAACATCACAACACATGTACATATGTACAACAGACACACTTAAATGTGTGACTATCATGGGACCTGGGGGAGAATGACAAGTAAGACTCTAAGATATTGCTTGATGATTGACAGAGTGTAAGAAAAAAGGGAGTTGGAGTGTGAAGAAGAGAGGATAGAATATATCTGTAGCTACATTAAAATATCAGGCTGGATATGCCTGTTGAATTCGAAAGGTTGACTTGGTTCACAAAACTGTAAATTTTCTGGGTCTTAGAATTTAGCTTTTTATGTCTCATAAGGCAGTACCATTTCATTCGCACATACATTGAATCTACATCTTAAAACAGGGTAAGATTTTGTTCTGGTTCTTTTCCTCTCCTTTTGTTTTTAATTTGTAAGTCAGAAAAAATTCTCTTCAGTTCTAGCTTAGGCTCTCACTGAAAGAAGGCTTCTGCTGAGACCTGCAGTAAGAACTGACGTACTGAAGAAGGAATGTCTCATTATGGAAAATGCCAATGCAAATCTTGATACGCAAAAAAAGCAAAAAAAAGCAAGTAAATGTTTTAGATTCAGTAAACTGGGAACACTGGGATTAGAGCTGGGTAAGGAAGTTGAGACATACATGTCTAATGAAGCATTAATTAATGTTTACAAAATCTGGACAGTATGGAAA